CCAATTCAATAACATACACATGCGAGACCCATATACAAATACGTGTGTCTCTCTTGAAACCGAGAACCATTATTATAGTTCTACACCCAATAACATGCACCAAGATCAAGGGACTATACAAGTAAATCAAATAAATGTAGTGGGTTTTAGTTAGACTGATATAAATCCCATTCTCAATTATCGATCGAAGTATAGAGATCTAAAAAGAGCAAGAGAGAGAAAAAGAGAGAGAGAGAGTTTACCTGTTTGCTTCTGTCGAAGATTGAGAGCCATAGAAACCTGAAATTAGAGACCTTCCAGGCAAAACCAGAGTGATTTAAACGAAAAAGAAAAACAGGAAAGGAGAAAGGAGCAAATGTTTTCCCTCCGAGTTTCAGTTTCTACACTAAGATTTCCAGAGTTTTCCTGTGCTGCCGTTTGCCGTACTTCAGATGAGAAAGAAACCAATCGGGAAAGGTTCTTTTTTTTGTTTGTTTTGTTTTGTGTTCTAAGTCTATGTTCGAGCAAATGTTTATTTTTTCAATGTTTTCACAAAGTCTAAAAATATAAGTGTATTTATTAAATTTAAATCTTTGTTAAGAAGTTAATTAGAAAATAAAATTTAAAGTATTTTATTCTTAAATTTTTATGTGAGTCTAAATATTTTAATACTTAAAAATACTAAAACAATATATGTTTTTATATAGTTTAAGAATTAGAGATTCATCCGGTGAATGTTATTTTTATATGTGTTAATATAGATGAAATAATTATTTTTGTTTAGAACTGGACAAAAGTATCATATGATTTTTCACTTATTATTTATTCTTGTTAAAATATAAATAACTATTTGTTAATTATAAATTGTTTATTTTAATTGATATATCGGTTAGACATTAATAATATGCAATTAAAGAAAATAAGAAGAGAACAAAATGTAAACTGATTTTATAAAATGATTATTTTTTTTAATTTAAAAAATATGATAGTTTTTGTATAATATAAAAAAAAATTATTATTGGGCAAAATTTTTAAATCTTTATTTAGAAAATATGGTTTTTCGATTTTTAATTCACTATTTTCCGATTTTTTATAACTATCCGTAATTAAATTTGTTGCTAAATATTTCTATCATATTAACAATAAGTATTTGTATTAAATAAAAAAAATATTATTAAAATGAAATTTGTGCTAATTTAAAAATATAATTACAAAAAGAAAAAAAAAATAAACTGATAATCATTTATCTGGCACGTGGTGAGTCTTGGTTCGTTGGACACGGAATAAGTGTGGAGGTTTCGCGATTAGAAGGGGGGAGGGGGGGGACTGAGAAGAAGAAGAAGAAACGGGAAGACAGAGGCATGGAAACGGCACCGTTCTTACGCAACAGATACTGGGCCTTGAGGCACGGCAAGAGCATTCCAAATGAGAGAGGGGTTATCGTCTCCTCAATGGTTCAGTCTTCCTCCTTTCATGATCTTTTTTGCATATCGACCTACGTGCAAAA